TCATCCACAGGTTTCTACTGTGATTCTCCCGACAGTAAGCAGGAGCAAAGACACTCTCCTATCTCACTGCACACTAAAGCATCCGCTTCAGTGAAATTCCCATGTCAGCACCTCATGATGCATTTCATTGTCTTATGAGCAAAAATGTTAGTAACACCACTTAATGCAGAAATCCAGCTGTTTCTCCTCCCAAAAAATATTCTCTTTATATTCCAAAATTTACAGAGATCTTAGGTATTTCTTTTTAGGCTAACATTGCTTTCTACGCGAGTACCAACTCCCCTGTCCCAGCAATATTTGCAAAAGGCAAAATCAGCACTCTCAGCACGTACTATAGCTTAAATATATTTTTTTTCTTTAAAAAATGCACTCATAAAGCTTACTGTCCACATTCTGATTTCATCAACTTGTTTTGCACGATGTTATAATTAAAAAAAAAAAAAATAACACAGTGATAAATTGAAAATTTCATTATATCTTTGAAATCAAAGAAAAATGATCCAGGTCCCAGCTCAGATCTGTTTCCTGCACTAATAAATGAAATTACAAGAATAAAAACTTGTAGCATCAAACTACAGAAAATCTTATTAAACAGTTTTAAGTTCTAAAGTGGTAACATGGAAAGAAACAAAAGAAAATAAATTATTACCCTCGCCGACATACCTCTTCATCATCAAGGAAGGATTCAAACCAGTCCCATAGATCTGTAGGTGGCTGTGTGTACCTTTAAGTACAAAAAGAATGGAAAAACTTTAATGCAGCCTTCTGCGTATCACATCAGCCATCAGCTGGTTGTATTAACACTTACCTAATATACATAAATCCAAGAGCTCTAATATATGGAGAGTCCGTATGTGTAATAAGGCCCATCACTTGCTTACGGGTGAGCTTCAGTGTAAATAATTTATAGAGCAGACAAAAGGCAGTAGACACAATTCCTCCAGTTCCAACACCACGTACCTTTAAAAGAACAAAATGTTAGTGACAACCAGGAAGTTAACGGGAATAAACAAACACCATCACTAATACAGGCTAACTCTAAATCTATTAACAGGACTGTGTGAAAAAAGTAACGCTACTTGCCTCCACAGTTTCATCTCCTTTGGAAGCAAGGGGAATATATCAACTCTTTGTAATAAATACTTTTACATGTAGTAACTGAGCCAACATACAAGCAAATCTGAGCTATGCTTGGAAACTTTGTTCTACCAGAAACAGAAAAACTTAAGGCAGCACGTACTTCTACTTACCCCTCCACACATTCCTGTCTGGCCTGCTGTTTTTCTGCTCCCCTTTTCCCATGGTTCAACATGTGTAACCTGAAAGGGCAGGGAAGGGAAAATCAAAGAAAAAAGGAACAATTATAAACATCCATAATGTTTAGCTATGTATACAGATTTGATTTAAACAATGGATTGCCTAAATCAGTCTTGATCAGCTTGTCTTATCAGAAACTCAAGATCAAGTCTGCTTTGTCTCTAAAACAAAGCATTTGGCTTTTTAAATTACATTACCCAAAATCACAGAGTTAAAAATGAACAAGCCAAAGAAAGTATCTTATATTTGATACTGCAAACACTTTAAAAGCCAGTGTTATTTTCCCTGTAAACTGTAGTGATGTTCTTAAAATGGTTCATATGTAGTAAAGAGTAAAACTTCAATTTTTCAATTCAAATCTTTTGAGATGCACTTTGAGATGAGTGTACAAACGTCATTAACATCATTCCCTACAGATGACAGTAAGAGTCACAAACTGCCCACGCTGCATTTGAAATTCAGAGGAATAACATCTGGGTCAATGAATGACATTTCCTAAAGACATCAACTTAAAAAAAAATAAGACAAAAATTCGGCAGTGCTACATGGGACTGTGTGCTAGTGGCCAAGCTGTACTGCCATTCAGGTATTAAAACTCTACCAGAGTATGAAATGAAACCAGACACGTAAACAATTACTTGAAATCAGAGATGTAACATGGGATGAAAGAAGAGGCTTGACTGTTTTTGACTGTTACTGTCTTTGCCAAATGCTAAACATAAGAAAACAATACTGGGGAAAATCCACCACAGGTTTCCATATTACAGCATTGTCAGCAAATTTCAGAAATATTACATAAATAAGAGTGTATATCCTTCCCACTATTTGTTTTAGCCTCTCACGGGAGATAGAAGTACTTTAGTTAAAGGATCAAATATGACATTATCGCAACAGCGGCTTCTAGTTTTTCAATATAAGCACGCTGTTTTTTCCCCGAACATGAATAAAAAAGCCCCAGAAATAATACTTATTTCAGAAGAGAATACTTAAAGTTTTAATCTGACAAAGTCTACTACATGCACTGCTCATGTCTGGAAGCACACAGAGTACATGAAGCTGAAAACACGCATAAGGACATAAAATCAAAAAGGAAGAAAGAGGAAGTCACCTTCTTCACCAGTCCAGAGCTAAAACAAACAGGACTTAAGCTGCTTGTGAATTAATTCAAATATCTACAAAGAATCTGTATGTTCAACAAGAAGCCCTATGGTTAGCTGCCTGTGTCAAGTCAGAACATTCGTCCGGAGACTCCAAGATTCCGAATTCTTGAATTTTTGAAATGAGCTGCTTAATCATATTCCCAAAACAAACACACATGAAAGTGTATGGTAGATATTGCATTCCTCCAAAAAGACAAAAAAAAAAAGGTCAGCAATTACTCAACATTACTCAGGAACCTTAAAATATGAAAAGAATTAAGACCTTCTAAATATCATTGAAGTACCTTCACCATCAGACCATCTTCTTCATATCTATCACACATGAGTAAGTAAGGATCTGAGTTTTCCCTTTAGAGTTTATTTGTAAGGAAAAATAACTGTCAAGCTCAGTAGACAAACTTTATTTACACTGGATTAAGAAGTTGACTTTTAATTATATGTCAACACTCCTCTCCAATTTAAGATGAAGCCATTTAAAAAATGAAACACTAACACAGAACTAGCTGAACTACTGCAGCTGAACTCTACCAATACAAAGATTAATCACATCAACTGGTTTTTTTGGACTGCATCTGAAAAGATCCATGTAATACATGCATGTTCTCCAATGTACTCCGAATATCTATCAGTTTTTCAGTTCCTGACTTCATTTGCAAAAATAAACTTTGCTGCTTTTTTTTCTGATAGAACATGTTTTTTCTTTCACATGCAGCAAATGGTAAACAGACTCCAAGTACTAGAAGAAATCAGAAATCTGTTCACAACACCACAGGTCAAGCAGAAAAGCATCACCGTAGAGAGGAAAAGCACACTACCCTTGTAAGTATGGGCAAACAATGCGAAATATTTCAAAACACTTCTGCACAGTTATTTCCAGTTACAGTGACTTGACTTACTCCGGGGTTAAACAGCTACTTTATTTTTCCTCTGAAGACTAAAAATCAGTTTAGTGACTAGTTTAGTACTAAAATCAGCTTAGTGACACAGTAATGTTACCAAGCAGTCCAAACGTACCTGAGAAAAATATCCCCATAATCTCCCAAATACAGCTGGCTGATAACTGCAGCCCAAAATATCTGAGTTGTGCTCTCGCTATCGGAACAACCGAAGCTGTGCTGATGAGCATTAATTACGCATACCTCAACCTGGGAGAACGGTCAATCCCGCTAACAAAACAAGAACTGACCCGTGGGCGCACTGATGCAGGTCTCTTTCCAGCACATCCAACCCAGGGCCACGAGCAGCGCCATAACTAACTCGTTTTTGACCGGGAAGAAGACTGGTGAGGAAGTACTAAGCTCTAATCGGGAAAGAGCCACAGGCCAGCTCCCCTCGCAGCCACCCGCGCCCAGGGCCATGTCTTTGGCGCAGCCATACGGGGCTGGCGGCTCCCGGGCTGCAGAGACTGCTCGTTTGTCTTCAGGGGCGGCACGCAGCGCGGGTCCCCTCCCCACCCTCCGTCTCAGAGCGCAGCCCTCGGACGGCCATTTCACGCCCTCTGCCCTGACTCCAACTGCCCATCTCAAAGCAAACTCGCAACTCCCCAACGCTAAACGAACGGGAGAGGCGTTTCTTCCGAAAGACAGAGATCTCGAACCCTCTAACTAAGCAATAAGAGACGCGTTGCCATCTCTCCCAGTGGATAAAGGAGGGGGACCCCGCAGGAAAGCAGAAGGCGAAGGCCGCAGTCCCCGCCCACCCGCTCCGAGCCGTCGCGGCCGGGCGGTTCGGGGCAGGCGCCAGCAGCGCCCCGCGGAGCCCAGGCCGCGGCCCGCAGCCTCACCTTGAAGTAGATCTCGTCCACCACTTCGTGGTACGTTTTGAGCTCGTAGAGCTGCACCTTGAAGTAGGGCGACGAGAGGATGTTGGTGAGGATCATGGGGTTGAGGTTCATGGTCTTCTCGTTCCCCCACAGCGGCAGCACGTTGCCCTGCTTGCCCGAGGCCGCCGGCTTGGGAGCTCCACTCTGCAGCTGCTGCTGGGCCGGCGGCACCGCGCCGGGCTGGTGCTGGACCGCCTGCTGCCCCTGGCAGTTACCGGCGCCGACGGCGGGGCCGTTGTTGGCCATGGCGGCGGGGCCCGCGGAGGGGCGGCGGCACGCGGCCTACGAGGCGGACGAACGGCCGCGCCACAACGGAGCGCGGGCTGCCGGGTCGGGCGCTGCCTCCGCCAACTGCCGACAAGATGGCGGCCCCGGCGGAAGTGACGGCCGCGCTTTCCGGGGCCGAGCCGGCCAATCCCCGCGGGGAAGCGCAGCCGTGCGCCTGCGCTCGGCCGCGCGAGAAAGGGCCCGGCCCGAGCCGCCTGGCAGGAGGTGGGGAGTGCCGCCGCGTCGCGGCGCGAAAGAAAGGCTTCGCGAGTACCGTCCGGCAGCCTCGCGGCGGGCGAGCGGCCGACGGCACCGGGTTACCGCCCGCGCCCTGTGAGCGCCGAACGCGTCGCGCATACGCCTGCTGGTGGCCGAAAACCCGCCCTGCCGCCGCGTGCGCGGCCCGTTGGTGAGGGCGGGCCGGACGCCAAGCGGGAGCCGTCGCCTGCCGGCTGAGCTGCGGGCGAAGGCGCCTTTCTGAAAGCAGTTGACTGGTCAGACCTTAGGAAGAGCAGCTCATCTCCCCGGACTCGTAGTCTGCCTTCGCGCGGTGTCTGCACCATTAGCTTAAAGCGAGTTGCTGTCGCGCCGTGACAGCAGGCAGCTTCTCCCACGTGCTGGCCGTGCGATCCGGCCGCACTTTTCTACCAGGAACACCGCCAGCTCACATCGGCCTGCTTTCCACAGCGTGCAGCACCGCCCTGACTCACCACAGCGCTCTGCTGCCCTTATCGTCGTTGCTCACCAGTAAATGTGCACTTAATCTTACAAAAAATTGAAAAAAAAAAAAAAAAAAGCAAAATGAGTAATGCAGTAACAGCAATGAATAATCGTGTTCTGCACACAGCGAGCTAGGGTCACAACTTCATTTTGAAAGATTTTTTTTTATCTTGTTTAGCTTTAACTTCTCTTGCATAATCACTTGAAGACAGCCTGTACTTGTTATCACTTATATAACCCAAATTGTTTACTCACATATTTCTCTTTTCCTGCTGGAACATTTAGTCAATATGTTCCAAAAACTCAATCTTCTTCCTCTGTAAGTTCACATTTTTGTGAAACAGTCCCTCTTTACTGGTGCGACAAACTTCAGTACACTTACCTAAAACCTGTTGATCCCCTCACCTCAAACTGGTTTTTCTTTTCCTAGGTACCCAAGCTTGTCTTCAGACAGAATCAGAGCAAAAGCAAAAAAACAGCAAGGAGGAAGTGCTTTTGACTGGCAAAAAGTAAGGAAATAAAAGTAATGTAAAAAAGGAAGATGATAGTGATGTGTAAGAGCCCACTTCTCATTCACACAGTTTATTTCAGATTTATTTCCAGAACAGGCCTAATCTATTAGTTGAAGGTAAGGAGAACAGTGACAGCATTCGGTCATAAAACATCCTCTGAGTGCCATTTGATTCTTAGCTCTTGAATTACAGTGGGATTCAGCTTTCCTCTAAGACTGCAGTGTTTTCTGGCAGTGGTGCTGTATTACCTTTCTTGTGTGATCATATTTAATTATATGTATTTAAACATTAAAATGAAGTTCTGCATACAGTTGTTTTTCTCATCCCAATCGCTGAAGCATTAAATAAGTTTCAGCAGTTTAGGATTTCTTGATGCATTATTTTCTACTGTAAGATGCTTTCACTGCTTTTACTAGCTATATAATTGTTTTCTTTATGGTACAGTGGGATTAATTTAAGAATAGTGCATTTAATTTGTGAGCTTATTGAACTGAATAAACCTTCAATATGCAATCTGCAATTTTAAACTGAAATGAGGAAAATACCTCTGACCAGAAGTTCTCAGAACAATCACAGACTCATGGAATGTCTTGGATTAGAAGACACCTTACAAGTCATCTGGTTCCAACCCCTTGTCTTGGGAAGGATTGCCACCCACTCAAATCAACTTTGATCTGCTTTGAGCAGAGGACTGCACTAGGTAACCTCTCTAGGTCCCTTCCAGTATAAATTAACAGTCTCAAGGAACCATAGGATAAGTAGATTTATCACTGGGTAAGGACAGGGAATAACTTTGAACTGACTAAATAAGAGAAATGCTGCACTGTGAGAATAACACAAATTTCATTGATATAGTAGGGAATAAGCAGAAAAACTTCTCTAAACATTTTTTCTTAGCGAGAAAAAGATCAAACACACACAGCTTGAAATGGTTAATGATGTCCTCCATCTCTTCCACATTGCCAATCTTTGAAAGACCCAGTCTTCCACCCAAACTTTACAACCAAAAATGGAAAAGAAATAAGGTATCTGTCACATTATTTGTATATTGTTTAAAGTGAATTGCTATCATAAGTACACTTTGGATACAATGCAATGCTTTTTAGAATCTCTTTGCAATTCCAACTCTAGTTTATGAACTCTTAAACTACCTTAATTACGCTGTTGGAAAGAGTTGTGAAATTATAGACAACTCCCCATATCTGCTACTCAAACCAGAAGTGAATGTGGACAGTGGATAAGTGCCAAAAGCCTGAAAAATCAAAGCTCAAATATAGTAGAAGGCAGTCATTCCAATAACTTGAGATGCCTAGGAAACCATTAGGATAGTCAGTCTGCAAGCATCCTTGTATACATTTCCTAGCTATTCAATAAACAACACAGCTTGCTGCTGACTATTTATGTTATGTCTGGAACACACCCTGCAAAACACAAAATGCCTTTAAGCTGAAGACAGGCCAGCTGCACAGGGGCTGAGAAGGCAGGAGGAGCTGAGGAGTGTGCCCACAGCCAGTTCCTACACAGGCTCTCCAGCCAGCAGGTTGCCTGCATTGTGTTTCTCATTCACCAGGGCCTTGTTCTTAGGTCTAGTGGGAATTACTGCTTGTTAAGTGTTCTCATGTGCTGAGACACGGTTGTTTTTGCAAGATGTGAGTTGGAGGTGGGCTGATGGTTGTGACTCTAGTGCTATGTTATCATAAAGCTTAAGCCCAGCAAAACCAGTCCTCTTCAGTGACATAATGCTTTTCCAGGCATCTCTTGCTGCTCACTGTGTTGCAGAATTCACAGGGAGCCATGCACACACAACCATCTGAATAGTAAGAGAAATCAAACCATAGATGAGTAAAAAGGAAACAGCTATGTGAGTGAGAAACTATTGTTCTGTACTTGCTGGAAAAGCAGTGCAAGGTAAAGTTGTAGTTATGTCAACATAATGCAAGCATAATTTAGGATAGAGTTGTATGCAAGTAAAAATGGTCTTACTAAAAAAGTTGCATGCTGTAGCAATTGGACAGATAAGTATAATAGGAAAGGTATTACAATAAAGTTGCGATGATAGAAGAAATGGCAAGATAGATACTATAAAGGAAGATTACTTACCCCTGTCAAAAGATTCAAGGTTTGCAAGGAAAAGCTTCACCAAGAAGGTTTCCAGAAACGGCAGTCAGCCCTTAAATGAGATCTAAGAGAAGTGCAGCCAGGCTCCACTTCTTCCGGCCACACTGAAGGCTGAATTGCCTTCACCTGTGCTTCCAGGGCTGACCGCGTCCTTTCCCACGTGCTCAATTAGTGGTTCAGGCTGTGATTCAGCAGTTGCACATGAAGTACTTATGGCACAATTTTGTTAATGCCTTTTTTTTTGCTAATGCTAGCGACCAGATCTTTCTCTCCTTAACTGAGACTTGAGCACTGCTGACGATAGCCAATTCTGAACTTTGATGTGATGTAGAGTACTTAAAATAATGAGTTAACTTCTGTATTTTTAGGCTTACTGAAATACTATGGGTAAAGACTTTGAAGGAAGGCAGTTTACTGGCGAGATTAAATTCACACCACCATTATACAAACAACGCTATGAGTTTGTTAAAGATTTAGTGAGGAAATACAAACCAAAAAAGGTTGGTATGTTTTGTCTTCTTGTATTATAAATGTAAAAAAAAAATAGCTAATATTAGGTACCTCTAGAGTGCAGGAAATGATTAGATGATCTGGTGACCTAATTAGATATCAATGCTACTGGCGAAGCTACTGTTAAAAACAAATTGCTTTAAGAGACATTTGATGATGTTTCTCAGGCATGAATATAATATATTGTAAATTTATGGGCAGTAGGAAAATACAAAGAAAACATGTCTTAGCCTATCCAGGAGAGCAGGTAGCATTCTGGTCTTGATTTGACATTGAGAATTTTGGATCAATAGTCTGTCATTGTGGTGTTTTTTGTTTTGTTTTTAAACTTCTAGAGCTTTTAGGTTTGTGTACAGTATCGGATTTACATCATTCCTCACATGGATGCTCTTAATTGAGAAGTTCAGAGTGTAGAGTTATGATAGACCAACTTTTCTCCATCCTAAAGGTCTGGTCATCAACCACTCCTGCACTTTTGTTATTTGAGGGCATATGCCTTCGTAGACATTCTCTGGAGTTACTGGGGTGCTGTACATTTGCTTGTTTATAGCTGTAATATCAAAAGGTTGCCTCCCTTTAAAACATTTTGAAGAATTCTCATGTTTTGAAATACATTGTAACTTTGTCTAGTTCACTTGTATAGTTGTGATTATTAATTATTTTATTACTAAAATGTTTTTGTTATAAATATAGAACATATTTATGGAAGTCTCAAATCATTTAATATGCAAATGCTCTATATTACTAATATCTATTTTACAGGTGGCAGATTTAGGATGTGCTGACTGTACACTTCTCTGGATGCTGAAATTCTGTGGTTGTGTTGAAGTGTTAGCTGGGCTAGATATCTGTGCAGCTGTGATGAAAGAGAAAATGTAAGCTTTGGAATTGTCTTAATTTAAGGTTTTTGTTTGATTTGACCTTGTGGCACGATTTATTAATAACAATTTCAAAATGAGGGTAAATGCAGAAATACCAGTTGGCAAATGTAGAGCAGTCCATTATTAATTGGTTACAGTTCCAGCTGAATCAGATTTCCTGGGGGAATTGTTGGGCTGTAACATCACCTAATGCAGCATATGTCTGGGTCATGGCCCTGAAGGTGTCTGCCTCTGAGAAATATGCTGTTTGTAAAGGTATAGAAGCATTGTCTATGGTTTGTTATTCTGTTTATGCTTGTATGTGACGTTACTGTCGTATGCAAGTCTGATCCTCCTTGAAATGAGCGTGTAACTCTTTCTTTTATGGGGCTTCATTTTTGATCACCTTATTGAAATGGGAGGTTGACTCAGTTTTGTGATTAAGAAAGCTCTACAACTTCTAACTCATGTGGCCCCTGAAGCACAGGGCAGATTTGGAGGAGCACCAAAGTCTCTCTTCAAAGCTAATTTGAACTGAAAGCTTAATATGGCTTCAGTAAATATGTAGTTTATAGATGCTGATATTGTCATTTGCTCTTTCTCAAGAATGAAGAAAACTAGCCTTTTAAAGTGTAGTGTTGATTTGCGTTTTGACCAGTGTAGTTTTTCAGATCAAATTTTGCTTATATATTTTAGTTTTCAATCTCATTTATTTGAAAAAAGGTTTATACTTCATAACTTCTCCCCAGACTCTGTAAAGCATGTGTAAAACAGAAGTATTGCATTTCTAGAGTTAAGCTACTATCAGAATTTACAGTATCTTCTTTGGGTAAGTATCTTAAAAATAGTGTAAATTTTTGTAAAGGAGAAGGACAACTGTTGGATCAACTCTGCACTTTGCATCCTATTGAACTGACTACAAAAAAGATGTGTATTAGGATTTTTTTTTTTTCCCTGTAAAATGACTTGACTTTTGGAGTTAAGTATCTAAGTAGGGTATTTGCTAGTAGAGTTGCATGCACAATTTATCTGTCCTAACGTCCTTTTTGTGGTTTTATGCTTTTAAACCTTTTTTTTGGTTGTTTTTTGAAGGCACAGGTTAACTCCTCTTCCTGCTGATTATTTGGAGCCATCTGAGCGATCCTTAACTGTGACTTTGCATCAAGGCTCAGTTGCTCATAAAGATCCTTGCATGCTTGGTTTTGACTTGGTAACGTGCATTGAACTGTGAGTATTAGACCAACACCAGATTTTTCTGAAATCATCAGGATTTACTTTAGAATTTTGTCTGTACTCCAAAGATACTTGATCAAGCCTCTTAATCAGAGAAGCAAAATGTAGCATTTTCTAAGTTCTGTCAAAATTAACTTTACTTAGTACTTAAGTGGTGCTACCATGTGGTAGCAAAAGGAGATGCATGAAGGAGTTAAAATGTAAGAGAAGGTCTTCTAAGAAAAAAAAAAGAAGTTGAAGTTGCCAGTCAGCTATGCTAATGTTCCAGACCTACACTTAAAAGTAAAAAGTACAGATGTGTGTTGTTTGTTTTTAACAAACAGAAAGTTAAGAAAGTTAAAATGCAGTTACGTCTTCTTACAGATGTGTAAACTTACCTTTATAGAATAGAGCACCTGCAAGAATCAGAACTAGAGAAGTTTCCTGAAGTGGTGTTTGGTTTCATGGCTCCAAGCATGGTTGTGATCAGTACTCCAAATTCAGAATTTAACACATTGCTTCCAGGAGTGACTGTTTTCAGGCATCCAGACCACAAATTTGAATGGGACCGAGCACAGTTTCAAAGTTGGTGAGTTTACTAAATATCATATGCAGACAGCTTTGAATACTAAGTATTGGGAAAGTGGAATGGCTAAACATGTTCACAGAGGTTTGTGCATGTGATTTGCTGTCAAGAGTTTCATGCCAACCTATTTAGTGAATTGTTGCTTTGCTGTTTCATGTAGTTAAGCACGTTCTCTTGGTTTTGTGTTTTGTGATAAGTTGGTTTGCTTTTTCTTTAACTGCTTTGGGAAAAACACTTTTGTTTTTTATACATCATTACTGCAGTTAATGCATTTGAAGTGTGAAGTATTAAAAATAAGCATTTTCTCATAATATTGCCCTGCTGTGCAAAAGTTTCATGTAAATCTAAAAGTGTGCTCAGTAATGTATGGCATGTAACCAAAGTGCTTGATTACTCTGGATCTTTCTGTAAGAGTATGCAAGTAGGTTTATGAAATAGTAAGTCCAGTAGCAGAGCGTGTTGACAAAAGTTAAGTATGGTTTACTGAATCATGGCACAATGGAAGAATTTTAGCAAAACTCATAAACATGAGAGTATTGTGTGAGATATAACAGTAATTTCTGGTTGCCTAAATTTGTGACTGTAAATGATTCAGGCTTGGTAGGAATATGATCATCGCCGTGATCCAGCAAAAGCTTTTACAGTGCTTATCTTCAGGCACGTTCTCTCATCTGTGAGAGTGCATCTTTATCACATGAAAAGACTGAGTATGTGGTAAGATCAGAACATGTTATCTATCTTAGGGCTCAAGATACTGCTCAACGCTATGATTACTCAGTGGAATTCACAGGTGTAGGGAACCCCCCAGCAGGAATGGAAGACGTCGGGTTCTGTACCCAAATAGGAGTGTTTGTTAGAAAATATCCTCAAACTAGAGAACCTGTGCAGTGTGAGAAACCCACTGAAGCAGCTTACAAAACTGTAAGTATCCTTTTCTTCATTTAGGAGGACAAACATAATGTAAGACTTTATACAAACGGCCACTGAAGCTGTTCTTTCTGTTGTCTACTGTTGCTATCTGATCTTAGCTCTGGTTAACACACACCAATCAGCTCAGAAGTGTCTTGAGTCCATGATTTTTGTATTTAATTGTATGAAGGCCCACACCTTCCAGATAATTTACTAATTAGCAACATGGATAACAATTCTTATTTTACCAGACGATTACCCCCATAATAAAGATTCTCCTTTGCTACAGTTACTCTGATGCTAAAATTGTTTCTCTAATTTTTTGTTATTTTATTAAGGCTGTAAAGATTGCTGATGCTGATTTAGCCTGTTTCAGATACATGCAAAACAAAAAGCACGTGTATGAAAGAGTGTATTTTGGAGAATTGCACAGCCTTGTCAAATATATTGCCTTAAACCTTTTCCTGAAGTGGGATTGTCAGGACCTGTTTGCTGTTGGTCATGATCTCTAGCATTTGTTACACCCTAACCTCAGTGTTTTTAGGTAACCCATACTGGCTTTTTACGAAGGCATAAATTCTTATCCTGTAGTGTATGGGCAATTTTGGTTTACTGTTGTAGGGATTTTTTAATTTTTTTTTTTTTTTTTGAAGCACAAAATGTCTGTGTTTTGTTTGAAAGGTTTGTGTATATCTGGTTGGTTTTTGTTTTTCAGTCTTTCTTGGACTGATTGTTTTAGGTACATGTCATTCTGCGTGGCTGAGGGACATTGGTCTCAGCAACTTGCTTCTGTGCTCTTATGTTGGTGAGGGGGAAAATAAGAATCCAAAATGAGATAGCAGGTTGCCTTCTAAGATTATTATCTAATGCTGCGTTGTGCTATGTTGCACAAAACCTAATGTGTCTAAATGCCTTGTAGTATAATCAAAAGGATACTTGCCTTCAGAGTTAGCGTTAAGTAATAATGCAGACATACACTGATATTTTGTTTTCCCAAACTTACAAGGCCTTAAATTATTTCACTGAACATATTTTAACATTTCACTTCCTTGCTTAAGTATACAGGAGTAAGCATCCTGTAAAGTGAAATATATTTCAATTGTATAGGAATGTCTTTTGTAGTTTCCAAGCCATAAAGATGTTCTAAGCACTTGAATCTTTACTCTCAGTTACTGTCCTTAAGAGAATTGTAAAGTGATCTTTAATGCTCTACAGACAAATCTCGAAATAAATTCAAGTGACTGCCATATAGTGGAAATTGCTTTCATTATGATATGTCATAGAATCTTATGCAGTGGGTTTTGACATCAATACCCTTTGAGTTTAAACAAGGGGAATGTTATATCTTGTTTCTTATGAAAAAATGTGACTGTCAAATTTTTGTTATCATTCTGTGCAAATATATCAGCAGTTAAAGATCTAATCAGAAGGTAATAAATACTTAGAGAGTCAAACTTCACAGAATCACAGGGTTGGAAGGAACCTCAAGGATCATGAATCTCCAACCCCCCTGCCATATGCAGGGCCACCAACCACCCCATTTAATATTAGACCAGATTGCCCAGGGCCCCATCCAATCTGGCCTTGACCACCTCTAGAGAATGCTTCAGCAGAAGCATTGGTAGCATTTTGTTAAAAAGCACTTAACAGTAAGCTAATGAGAATGAAGTTGTCTACCTGATTTCTTTAACCTCTTGGGATGTAGACTCATAGCATCATAGACTGGTTTGTGTTGGAAGGGACCTTTAAGATCACCTAGTTCCAACCTCCTGCTATAGGCAGGGACAACTCCCTCTAGACCAGGTTGCTCAAAGCCCCATCCAGCCTGGCCTTGAGTGCTTCCAGGGAGAGGGCATTCAAGACCTTGCTGGGCAACCTGTTCCCATGTCTCACCACCCTCACAGTACAGAATACCTCAGTATAAAACGCGTTCACTGGTTTTGATGTCACAGTGTTGTTTTTTTTTGTTTTTTTTTTTAATGTTTGCTGCATCTGAGGACAAAATGCTTGCAATTGATTCTGAAAATAGAACAAAAGTCATATTTGCAACCTCAGATTCTGGAAGAATTTAGAACCTTCATATCTGGGAAACTGTCACCAGTGTCTCATGATCAGGAATGGGAGAAGTAAGGAAAGGATCGATAGCATTAAGGAATTTCTGGGTTTTACCTGGCTGTACCTATGAGTACAACTTGCAGATACAAGATCTGTTATTATAACTATAAAAGTATTTATATATACTTATATAATAAGTATTATTATTATTTTTAGGTTCTGTTAACTTTTCTAACAGCTGTTGCAGTGGCAACACATGAAATCAAGTCATACTGTGTACTTTTTCTGTATTTGGAAATGTAAAAAATGAAACAGGATTGAATCAAAATATGTTTGCATTCTGGAATTTTTTTGACAAGCTTTTACAGTCTGAATCTATGATAATAATAAGTGTTCTGTGTGTTCCTGCATGCTGTAAAGGTCTTCAAAGCAGTGTATCCGAGCCTTAAAGATGAGAAGTACCTGCAGAATGCAGTGGTCGGTGAAGTTATGTTCAGAGCACAAATCATTAAGCAAAGTCTGCTGGACCATTTACTGTCAGAATATGAAGAATATGACAATCCTACAGAGAGAAAATTGAAACTGCAATGTTCAGTGAACTGTTCTTCAGAAGATTTTGAAACACTGGCTGTTGAAAAAAGCACGGAGCCATTCGTCAGTGGAAATGTGGTTTATATACCTCTGAGAAAAATGTTTTCTTTTCCCAAAGTAAATCAACTCTGTGGCACTTTTGAGAAGTTTTGCAGGCTTATTACTGGCAAGGTCACACTGAACAGTGATTGTTCTGCTGTGATGCTTGATACTGAAAATGAAAATGAAGAGAATTCGATTGGTTTTCTTACTTCAAGTTCAGTGTAAGTAATGAAAGCAGTGATTTTAGTAGCTGTAGATTGGTGTGTTCTGTATGCTAACTGGAACCATAAAATCATTCCTAAACTGCTCAGAATGTATCTGCCAACTTTATTTTTTCCATGAATGCCAACCTGGCCCCAGTTTTGAAAACCTGCATTTTTGTGCCACCAGAGGCAAGTCTGCGGTTTGTATCTCTTTCACAGTATCTTTGGTGGCTTGGAATGAGCAAGTATTAATGTAACTAATTTCATGCCTGTGAAAGATGTTTCACACCTTTCTGAAAAATTAAAAACCAACCAAAAAAGGTCTACGTACTGTTTCTTAGAGAGGATGGCTACATTATATCTTCTAAATTTTTGGAAGACGTGAAAGGGAAGAGACAGCTGTAATTCAGTGTATAAGTGGTTAATGACTCCTAATCCCCATTCTTTGTAAAACAGTTTATTTATTTATTTATTTTTCATGACAACTTTGGCAAAGATAAATTCTTACATTTGTTCTTATGCCTTTTCTGGGGAAAATATGAAGAGCAACTGCAGATGCTTGGCTGTATCTGTTTGGTGTTCCCTAGCACATGCATGTGTACTGAAATTGAAGAATATATTGCTTATCATACACAGACAACCTATTTGGAACAGATAAATTTAAACTGAAACTGCTTTTTTTTACTAAAAGAAGCTACACAATTTTGTGTGCCAGCTTTCCTGGTTTACATTTGCTTAAATCAGTGTTGAAGTCTTCTTTAAAGTATTGAATTAATGGTCTTTCTATGAGGTTAAACCTCCCACAGGACTCATTATGCACAGCTTTTTGCTATCACATTGCACTTTTGATGATTATATATTCATAGTAGCACATTTAGACTTGACATTTGAAACTGGTGAACGTCAATTTTGCTGTCTGAAATCAGGGTGATGAAAAGAAGTTTATGAGAATCAGATGTTCTAAGTTGCATGTAGTGATATTACCGACCAGGAGATGGCACATGCATCTGGAAACTTAACAACATCAGGTTGTTCAAGCAGATATGTTCTTGACATTTTGATAAAAGATCCTGAAGCTGGTGTACGTTAGTCTTGGTGCTCCTTGGGATTAGGTTTGATAGACTTCGGTGTCAGCTGCTAGAATGTGATAAACAACAAGCTTAGCTTAAATCTGGTGGGGAAGATGTAGCTGTTGCCCTATAAGGAGTTATAGATTACTGTGGACATGCTTTATTCTGGAAAAATATGGAGCCATAGTTAACTGTGGCAGGAACCTCCTGAATTAAAACACCTGAACACTATTAGCGTCACAAGGATTGTAGAAAAATTAACTAGCAAGTACAATAATGAACATCTTACTGATTTGGCAGGAAAAAAAAAAAACACCTCAGTGAAAGCCACCTGAGTTACTTCTGCAATTCTGTGTTACTTAGGTGTAAAAGTGACACATTCAGTGTTGAGAGAGAGCTTAAATGAGAGCAGACCCAGAAGGAGCGTTCAGTGTGCTCTGGCATCAAAAACAAAAGAGAAAGTGAAGAAAGCACACAGGAAAAAAGAAGGTAGTAAAGAAAGCCAAGGCTGGCAAAAAAAATACAATGGAGTACGCAACATAAAGGAAATAACTTGACAGCTGTTGAATAAATTAGTAGGGATTGATTTTGGTTAGAATAGCTCAACAGAATGGTTTTGACCATTGTTTTAGATGCAAAGTGAGCAAGTACTACAAATAAATTATACAAATAGTGAACTTTTAGAAACAAAACCAAAATGTCTTGTTCAATGAGCCTGAAGGAGTTAATTGCCCACCTCCCCAGACTTGTTTCAAATAGACAGTATTGCTACTAAATTTTTGAACTGTTCAAGTCCTGTCACAGGCAGGTGTGAAAGGTATAAGGCTCTGTGCTTGTTAACATGATTTTGATTAAGGAGGCTTGGATCATTATGTTGGATTGTGTATTAAGGCTACTTATGGGTACTTTCCTGTTTTTTTTTTTTTCTATTTAAACTGAATAGAAGAAACACAGGCTTCTGAATGAGATTCTGTAATGACAAAAACTCTCATGCAAAGTCTTTGCATTTGCTTCCTAAAACACAAAATCACATCTTATGTAGCACTGTAAGCAAACAGTTTGCTTGGAACACTGTCAAAATCAAATGCACTGCCACTAGCACATCTTAAACAAAGGTAGCAGGGGAACATTAGTAGATCAAAAGACAAGGCTACCAAAAAAAAAAAAAACAAAAAAAAAAACAAAAAAAAAAAACACCAACCCCCCAGAGTAGTGCCATGTTTACAATTAAAATTGGTTATACAACTCTGAATTTGGACAAAACTTTCTTTGCTAACATGCTTGTATCTTTCCATTCACTTAAAAATGAACAAGTACTGTAACTTGATACGCTTTTAACAAGAACACAATGGAATGGTAACAAGTGTTAAGAAATGCATTAAGAATGTTTGTCTTTCCCCTTCTTGCTGGTAGGTCCTGCTGTGCGGTCATACAAGGAGTTCAGTCAACTAATCCATTGCTGACACTCGTACTGGTTCAACAGGTAGGAAGAAGAAAGCAGGCAAGAATGAGCAGTTGGGTGTGGAGAAAGCAGAAAATTACTTACTAGCAAGAATTGGAGAAACTCATTTCTTAGCCATGCTCACCTTTCCCTCTGTTGTTTGTCCATATCAGAAGGTCCACAAAATATACCTGTGTGTTCACTGATAGCATCACAGTTCTGGTGTTTCATATCTTTTTTTCTTTTTTCCCTTCAGAAAGAAAATTGTTTCTCCTAATACTATATTTTTTTCTTCATATATTACATGCAACAGTGGTGCAGCCTTATTTTAATTCATGAGCTCCTTTCCTTTTAGTAGTTTTTTTTTTTAAGAACCATATTGCAAAGAATATGTATTATTTTGATATCATTTATTGTATGTCTGAGACATTGGCATTAAATACAGCTAGAAAACATATTCCAAACAGTTCACAACATGAGTGTCCAATGTTCTTACAGCATAGTTTACAAAAAAGAAAATAGGTAAAGTATTAAGGTTGTGTTCTATTTAAAATATGCACAATTCAAGAATTACTTGGTTAAGAATTGTAGCTTGAAGATGAACAAAAAAATGCAGAACACACAGCTTTATTTAAAGCTCAATTTCCATGTAAAACTTTCTCCTATTTATAAAAGTCTCTCCAGGGAAGAAAATAAATGGGTTTCTAGTACACAAATAGCTTATCTATGACAGTTAGCTATGGATTTTAACATAGAAAACAAATCTGGGCTATGGAAATTCCCTTTCACAATTACATAGGTAGCTATACAGCGTTTTTACATTTCTTCTAGCTGTGCCTAATTTTCCTAGTAAACTAGGAAATTATTAATGGTTCTACTAGATTGGTCAAAAAAGCATAGCAGTGTTTACAAGTACTGAAAGCAACATAATGCAATTTCCATGCATCTTCTGGCTTGCAGTAGGTTGTGGCTGCTTTTTTTGGGGGGGGGTATAAATTAGGAAACTATCAGGCTCTGAGAGACAGTATACTTGCAATTAGGTATTGTCTGTTTATCCATTTCTCCAATGAAATTTTAGATAATATCACACTTACAGCAGCTAGAATATATTTGCATTAATTCTTTTTACCCATAGAAATGTTTAGATTATAGTTTACAGCAGGAAATATGTTGAAGTACCATAATAGAGAAATAATTAATTCATCTTATTCAGTAACACTACTCACACTTCGAACTCCAAAACTTCCTTAAAACCAAGTGAGTTTGATAACCACAGTGTATTTATGGAAAACAAAGTCTGATTTTCCCTAATTAAACCAATTAAATAAGGCCTACATATACTTCAGAAGGATGTCAAACTTGAGTTTGAGATGAATTTAAAGCATTCAGAGCTTTCTAAAAATGGTCATGCTATTTGTATCGCTTATTTTTTAATAATTATTGATTAATAATACAATCAGTCATAACAAAATGCAAGTCAGCAATTAAAAATACAGCAGATCCAAGCCCAACCTGTCATCAGAACTACACTTTTGGGAATATGGATTCTTTCAAAATTCTTAACAAAATTGTTCATAATTTTCTTTCTTCATTCATCTTTCTCATCTGGCAGGCAAATCGCCATCTGCACAAACGTAAGTAGAGTCCATTGTCCTTAATGTAACAGTGGACAGATAGTGACGGAATAAGTGTTCAACATGAAAAGGCAAATCTGTTGCACAGAAATTCTTTTTAAGAGCGTAGCATACCTCTACAATAAAGTGCTTATCTTAATAAGTTATACTGGTAGTAGTTTTAAATCTTGAATTGCTTAGCAAATAGTTTAATATCTCTGTACCTTCCCTATCCCCTCAAGGCACCTTCTAACACTAGAAAAACACTGAGGAGGGTTAAGCTACAATAAAAAGTTTAAAGTGGTTGATAGTTTGATGAAACTACTGATGAGGTTTGTAAATGGTACCATTCCACTGAATCTCTAGGCTTGTGCACAGAAGCAAGTTTCTGTGTAAGGGGCTTCTGAACTCCGTCCTTAACAATCCGAAGGGAAACAACCAGCATTCTTGATAATAACTGCTGTGCATTGGTATTTTGATATATCCTACTTGCTTTGTCACTCCTATAGTGCATTTCATACGTGTAAGCATCTAAATATCAATTACAATTAACACAGCCTATTACTGGCTAATGATACACATCTATGGAGTCTTTTTTTAACGCATGTGAGTTTCACCTCCACTCTTCATCCTTAAAATGAAGTTATATTCAGTACTTTTCAGAAAAGATTTTTGCCTGTTTAAAGCAGAGCTCTAGGGAAGCCATAACCTTCACATGATAGTAGCTTTGACTTGATAGAAAGAGGTGGCTTTTCCAAGGCTTTCATAAGGTAGGACCAAATTGAGTCTTAATTTGTTTCTATGGGCTCATTTATGACTTCTTGAAGTTTCTTTAGAAAAGAAGCTGAAGGGCACATATCTACATGTGACCTGCTATGTAAAACATTGAAACAGGACCCATTTAGTCATGCTTCCAAAAATTTATGGAACAACTTAAAAGTAATTCACTTTAACATCAGGTACAGCTTATAAAAACAGTCCAAGTACTTGCACAACATGTAGACATCTAGACATTGCCTTGATATCATAGAAGATACAGCTCTCTGACCAAAAGACATTCCAATACTTTTTCCAAAACAAGTTCATACAAAGTTCCTCTTGGCTTTCACAACTCTTGCAGTTGAAGAAACGTGAATTAGAATGTTGCTGCTAGAGTTCTGTGTTTTCCTCTTCTGGTCAAGTCATTCTAGCCTAGCGTTTTATCACCACCTGTTCATATGCTCCAGATCCTACTCTGAAAATGTTTGGAAGAAGTTAAATCAATTTCAGTTAAAATTGAATTTACAGTATCACAGATGAATAACAAAACAATGTACTGCATGAAAACAAGCAAAACCAAGCAGCTTGTACTAAAACAGCTAAATCTGAAGGGCAGAAAACATGCCCTTGTTACCATACTACTGAATAACTTCCCGTTTAATGCATTAAAGTGTTTTATGTAATACTGTAGAAAACAAAGAATGATAAATAATATTAGAGACCTGCCAAAAGTTATTGTTAGGCCTCTATATTTAACTTCCTTAAATTTTATTTTTTGGATACTGCCTCCACCCACTGCAAACATAGAAATAATTGTCTGTGTATACACAATACACACACACAAACACACAAATAGGTACAGCTCTTAAAAATCAAGTGCTAGGTCTGTTAAAAGAAAAAACTCTTCAGTCTTTTGTTCCTGCTGAAGCGTAAATGCACATTTATGTACCTTTGTCTCCGTACCTCATCAACATGATAGCATAGTGGGTAGTTTTACGTAGCAAACTGCCCGGTAACTGAATTAGGACAGAATTCTGTATACTACAGCACTGTGCCATGTAACCATACATGTTCTCCTGTTTAAAAATCAATGTGCCCAGTTTGTAAATAAACCAATAATTGTCTTCTAACCATCAGTATTTTTTGCTTGTGTTAAATACATTCATTTTATAACTTTCAGCACATTATCAGTGCACTCTGGAAGTGCTTACTGAAATTACTGAAGAAAAATGCATGCTATGCTACTTCCATGAGATTATAGAAGAATCTTAGAGTTACACTGAGCTGCAGAATCATTACGTTAGAACACCTTGTTACCTGTTTTTAATGCGTTCTAGTCTGAGAAGACTCTAACTAATACAAAGTATATACCAGAATCTTTGAAGAGATTTTAGAGAAGAAAGTCTCTGGTTCTAAGACAACTACATGAAAAAAAATGTCAAACAGATTATCGAAGGACAGAGTTTAGAGCTACAGACAGCTTAAAGAAGGAAAAACTGTTGAAACAGGAAGAGTGTAACTTGTGAAAACAAAAAGAGCTGTGAGCAAAACTGAAGGAAACAAAATTAGGCTTGCTATTAGGAAGAGAAATGTTTGATGCTGTGAAGGTGGATGTATAAAACACAAGACTCCAGTTTCAGAGAGTACTATAGTAAATCTCTAGAGCTAAGATTTCAAACTGGTGCCTGTTTCCTGTGTCTATACCTAAATATTACTCATATCTGAAAACTTTGGAACTAAGTCTTCAGGACCTCCAGAAGTAATGCTTTTACTTGGCATATCAGTTTGATTTTAGGAGAAACCTTTGTCTTCTGGTTTAAAACATGACAAGCAAGTTCTTTTGATACCTTTGAACAATAAAGAAGACGAAAAGATCAATAATATGTGTACAGAATGACTACCACATAAGACGCATTTCTGTTTAGTGTGACCCATGGATCAGTCATCGAGGCTACATACCTGTTAGGTAGATGATGACTTCCAAAAGAAGTGCTTCCACCAGGACCCACAAATAATCTTAAACCTTCTTCTAGAAAGCAACAGTATAAATGTATGTTAGCTTCCTTTCAAAAATTAAGTCATCTAAGATTTACCGGTTTTCTAACTGATACTTTCAGACGAATGCGTTTTAAGTAAAGAATCAAATTTGACAGGTTATAGGTTGGAGAACTAACTTCCCTATGAATTTGTACCTGCTTGTATATTTTTAAGATTAAAAAGTGATTACCTGGGAAAATTACTAGAATTATGCAACTCTGGTTACACTGGGAAGAGTCTTTCCAATTACTGGGTGACAGGATCAAGCTGATGATACAGTAATCTATATACACTGCAGGCACTATGAAAAGAGTTGTTTTCAGGCCTGTAATGTGCATTTACTTTCCTTAAGCTTCCTTATTTATCTCTGTACCTTCTGCACTTGAGTCTAAACTGAAGTCTTGACTCTGGAGTATTTTTTCAACTATATCGTCAGCATCAACTCTGGTAGCATCAACCCTCTTCAACTGTGATTCCACAGAGTCTTGCTTTACAGGATGTCTGTAAAAATAATTATGTTTAGAGATCTTACACGTGATGTATAAATTATGTTTTGGTTCTGCTAGATAAGGCTTTCAAATTGAGCATACCTGCACAGTTTTTCTGATGATGTATCTTTAGTAGATGTATCAGTGTTAGTTACTTTTGGCTCAGTCTCTTTACAGGGTTCTAGAATACTTCCAATTCCTGTTGAGGTGCTACCCACTGAGGTGTTTCTCCTGTGACAGAGTTCAGACAGACTGGCTGATCTAGAGTGACATGTGCTGTATCCTGCTGGGGAAACACAGTGGAGCTAGATGAGGTATGTTGTTAGCTGCCATAATCATCAATCATCTTTTACCATCCTGAAAACAGAGCTTGTGTTTTGTCCCCCTGGAAAGAAATTTGAAGAGTCTTGCAAACACTTGCATACATCAGTTCACTTCAGTTTTTGTACTCTAGCACGTGCTGTTTTCTTTTTGTTTTAACTAACTCTGATTTCCTAACAATTACCTGGTCATTACTTCCCCTTAATCTTTTGGAAGTAAGCCCATCTCCGCTGATAAACTATTTGCTTTTATACATGCAAAATGCAAAAAGTCTATCAGTTGTGTTAACTGGAGTGACAAAGCTCAGGGAAGAACTTACCTTACGTCTGAACAGACAAAGTATTACATGTATAAGAAAGAAAATGTTGCCTTCCTCAAACTCCTCACACCTGAAACTCCCAGGAAAACGTTTCAAGTTCATACAATTCTTTTTTAAAGCATAGAATTATACTTACTTTCTACAGTACACAATTATGGAAGTTAATAAAAAACAACAATCTGTAAACAATTCATAAAGAATTACTTCACAGTTACCTGACAGTTTTGACTGCTGACTTGCATAGCTTGATGTTCTGGAATGTCCACATGCACCAATTACGTCAGGAACTGAGGCACTCTTTGATGATACATCTGCAAAACATGCTAGTCAGGTAACGCTGCCAAAGGCAGCTTCATCATTACTTCGCCTATAATCTTGAACAGACTCACATGTCAGGTTTCCTAGAGATTAGGGATTTGATGTTTTATGAATCTCTTCAAAGGTCTAATTGCTACAAAAATACTGTGCATGTTAAAGAATATACATTCCCTTAAAAAAAAAAAAAAAAACCAAAAACATTTATAGATATATATACATATACACATATATACATAAAATATGACATGGTTCTCCTCTCAAAAATTGAGAGTAGCACTGAGTAGCTTTCTAAGTATAACTGTAGCAATTAGACAAATCAGTATGATGGGAAAGGTATTACAAGAGAGATGAGATGATGGAAGGATTGGCACAATAGAAAGATGCTATAAAGGAAGGGAAAAAAAATTGTTCACCCATATCAGAGAATTCCAGGTTGATAGGGGAAACCTTCACCAAAGAGAGATCTCCAGAAAGCCTTCCCCAGTGGCAGTCAGCCCTTAAATGAGGTCTAAGAGGGGTGTAGCCAAGCTTCACCCTTTCTGGTCACGTTGGTAAATTGCCTTTCCTCAGGTGCTCAATCAGTGGTTTAGGCTGTGACTTATCAGTTACCATACAATAGTTTGATTTATCTACACTGTAAACACTTAAAAAAAAATTACCCTGCTTCTCCCAATAGAATCATGTACGAGGTGTTTTGTGGTAAAAATTACATAAAACAACTGTGGTTAAGACAAATTAAACAATTTTTAAGGTGAAAATTACTAAGAGCCTGAAGCTTGTTAAAAAAAAAAACCAACAAAAAACAACTCATAATGAAGTATTTTTTCTTATTGTTTACATGCATAGATTGTTTCAGAATAGCTACTTGAGTATTTTACAAAATACTCAGAACTTTACCAACTGAAAATTTAAGGGATATGCGTATCCCTAAAACCATGATTCATAAATTGAAGCCAAGGGCCAAGTTAAATATTCTGTTGAGATATAAATCCAAAGCAAATCAAGATATGTGTGACATAGAAAGTGAAAGATTTTAAATATTAAAAAGGCAGCCCATCAAGCCCGTTTCCTTTCAGACTTTCCACTAAATAAACTGGTACATAAATTAAAAAAAGACATTCCACTGCTGTTATTTAGGAAAGTATGTCTCAGCAAACAAAGTCAAAAGGGACCCTTTGTGAGCCACCAGTCAACATCCCTTTAAGATTACAAGTAATCCATAGGTATGTTCTTGAAGCTCTAAAGCCAGTTATAAAATAATTAAGAACTTAAGAACATAATTTTATACCTGCTACACCTAGATGTACTACTTTTAAGTCTTCTCTGCCTTTTCTATCTTCATGCAGAGATTCTGACTCTCCCGCAATTGCTATAGACGTAGCTGTGGAAGGAGGCCTGTAAGAAGAAAAGTGGTTAGAATTTGCTGTACTTTTGCTGTGATTCCTCTAAACTGATCAGCACAGATATATATATTTTTTCATTTTTTCTCATACTGTGCTTCATGCTAGCTGTCTTGTAACCTTTTTCTGGGAACATGCTGTCTAGCGCCTGTTCAAAACAAAAAGAAAAGGAAAAAAAAATGCTTTAGCTACTGTGTTTCAGGACATTTTTAAAGCATCCATCTGCTCAGTCCTTCAGATCTGAGGATCCTTGGAAAGGCTTTTCTTTCTTCTTGATTCATTGAGTGATGTGTTTAGCCTTTTTGAAGGCTTTGTTCATTGTTATAGTGTACAAATCAAAGGATTATATACATGCTAAGAATTGGATGTAACTCAGTACTTTATGAAATACATGGTAAGATGGTAAATTAAAAAGAAAAAAAAAAACCTGCCACATAACTACAGTTTGCCTACTTGGCTCGTGCAGTGCAGTATATTGTTGGCTTTGTTTCATTTCTGTTGCAGTACATGAGGAGATTCCAGGGTGATTGCCCTCGCCCTCCTATCAGAGGGCCTTCTGTTCCTATCCTCATGTATTTTCCTCTAACTTCTACCTCTTGCAAATTAGAAAAAAAACATTGTGCACCATATTATTTAAATTTGGTGTAGTACTAAAAAAGTTCTTCATAGAGCTGAAGTGCTTATTTCAGTGTATACCAAAACCTAAAGAGATACTTATTAAGAAGAATAAACCTCGTAGTGTTAGAAAATGACAGTTAAAGTATCTGCTCATGCAAGTAGTCAAACACAACTGAAGTACATTTCATGATATCATCTCCATGTTTTGCAATGCTTTGTTATTTTGACCTTGGGATCAGACCCTTGTTCTGCATACAAATGGAATTTGTTAACATTTTTATGTTTGATATTTAATAAATCAGCCACTGTCTCTATGTACAGTAACGTCCCCTGTCACGTTAAGTTTGAAATTAAGACAGAAAGGCAGAAAAAGCACTTCAGGACATAAAATGCCTATGTGACTTGAATGTCTAACATACAAGGGCTGATCTGAAAGTAATGCCTTCTATTCTGTTATGTTGGTGCATGATGTGAGAGGCAAATGTTGGCAGTATGGTAGCAGAGGTTGAAGCTCTTCACCAATATTCCATTACATTTTGTTGCTGTGTGACAGGTGGCAGCAGATGGGCAGTCTGACAGAACGGCATCTGACATGAAAGTGCATAAGCAGCAAAGGTGTGTCACTGAATTCTTCCATAGAGAAAAAATGACACTCACTGACACTTGCTGAACCTTTACAGAGACCAAAGTGTGGACGTGAGAACAATGACATGGGTAGACAGTGTGCTTCTGCAGTGCCAACAGCAACCTGAAAGACAAGCCATGTTCTGGATGGCCATGCAGATTTTTATGAGTGCAACATGCAGTGTTGCGTTCACTGCTCATAGAAATGCATAGCTAATGGTGGTGTATTTGCTATAATAATGTGTTTTTTCTTAATGTTGTCGTTGTCACATAAATAAATAGGAGGCATTACTTTCAGACAACCTACATACCTTTCAAAGCAAGAATTGAATGCTTTCAGGGATATCACCCCAGGTCAGATGTGAAGCCATCTTGACTTCTTAAAATATGTAGCTGATTTCGGATTGTGCAACTGTTTTTGGTGGTCATTTATTCCTTCTACAAAGAACATCTGGATTAGATAAATTATTTGTACTGTTTATGTTGAAAGTTTATGTTCTGGGAAATGGTATATCATCAGTTTGGAAGAAAATACCGAGTCTGAATAATTTCAGCCTTCAGCCACAGAGTTTTTACTAAGGAACCAGAAAACTATTTAGTTGTTAAGTTCAGCTACTTGGCTACCTGAACAGAAAGACATTATTTTATTAGTATAGACAATAAAAGTTAATTGGCTGAGAAACTGTTTGTTTATCAGTACCAGTGAGAATATTTTTAATAGGTCTGACTCAAAGAAATCAAGAAATACTCAGTAACCAGGAAAATGGAAAAGCTTTGCTTGACAGAAGAGATTTAGAAAGTACCATCTTACTGTTTGTTCTGTAAGCACAGGATGAGATTTCACACTGTTCTACTCTGCTTTTTGTAAGATTGGACAAGGAGAAGAGACAGGACTTTTAAGTGGTGCAGCTGGACTGAAGAGTTCCTACAGTGAACAACCTGAGCTAATCTGGTACAAGCTCTATTCTCAGATGCCCTCAGAAACAATGGTAAGGATACTTCTGTGACAGTAATGCAAAGCCTGTACTGGTTACAGAAAACAAGTCTTATCTGTCTTAAGTACACAAGAACTTAAAACAGTTAAAACCTACTAGTTACTATGCTCTTGCATATTAGACCTTAGAGTTAAGAGTGCAGTGCTGCTTTTCCTGGAGTTACAGCTTCATCTAAATTCTTTAAACAAAGATACTGTTGTGTTTTTTAAGGAACACTTCAGTATATATTTATTACTCCAAAATAAACCTGCAGATATCCCATTCTTGGATTATAGACAGGAACATTGATTACCTATATTCATTTGATAAAACATGAGTCTGAATTCAGTTGATAACAGTATTTTGAGCAAGCAGTAATTCTTATTGATGTAAAACTATTTCAGTGCAGAATGTTAGTAAGCACTAGCTTGAGCTTTGGGAGATATTTTTGATCCAGGCTTTCAAAGTGTAAACAAAATCTGAGAACCTACCAAGAAAGATGAGACCGACATAGCAAGTATGAAGCTAGCAAATGCTTCTAAATGGTTTTCCTTTTCATTAAGACATTTTTTTCTTTTCATGTTATCTAATACTAACTAGATGAGACTTTTTTTTTTGATAGAGAGCAGAAGGAGCCAAGCATGTTGTCTCAGAACATAGTGTTATGTAGCTTTGCATACTGTTTCTGTCAGCAGCAAATAGCAGATGCTGAAATAACAGGGACACACAGAATGTTATTATCGCCTGAAAATTACTCCAACAGCTCAACTCTAGCTTACAAACATTATGAGCTTCATGTATTTTATACCCAAGAGCTCACAAAATTATTTCATTCAAGATTTTTTCATAAATCTTTCAGGAGCTTAGTTTTATTATTCACAACATGTAATAGGAGGAAGTTCCACTTGACTGCATGGTGTTGGAAGAAACATGTCCTCTTGTTTTGATTCCATGCCTGCTAGTTTCAGTAGAGTAATGAAGTAATCAATGAAGTGAACAGAATTAAAAGGAATAGAGTTAGAATAGGATTTAAGGAATTTATTTGTGAACGAATGGATTTTAGTCACCCCTCCCTCAAGTAACTTGTGACAAGTCAAATACAACTTCTTTTATAAATGATATAGACAAAATTGCTATCTCCTGTCATATATAATAAAAAATATCTTTGCTAACTAAAAATCTTGATGTGCTTTGTCTTGAATTAACTCTTCATGCACTCAAGTAGTTTTATTTAAGCCTTATTCAATTAGCAATCAAAACCTGTAGCAGCAGATTCTTCAAGCAAGCATTAGTCAGATCTATTTTTATATATGCCTGCTATATGAACAGCTTCCTTTATGTGCCTTTTTTTTTTTAGTCATTGGAGGTGTGCAGGCTAGTGTCCTTGCTTGAAAATGTGCCAAGTATTTAACAGCAAGGAGAACTGTGATACTTCCACTACTGTTTTTTATGTTAACCATTACTCAGCTACCATCACAGTTTTGTTTTTATTTAAGTGTTGTCAAACTGAAGAAATTCATATATGCAAAGCAGAAATGTAATTTCAAATGTGAACTGAGCCACTTAAGCTTGACTAAAACATTATCCAACACAAATTATTAAAAACTTACATTTTAAAACATGGGTCTCCAGACATTAGCTGCATGTTGATCAACACCTACACATGAAGAAGAGAAAGACTATAAGAAAAAAAAAATAATCTGTGGTATATTGTCATACTAAATTGTATTTGCCACGAATACTACATTTCAGGAAAATAGCATCACACATGCAACTGAATGCTTTTTTTTTGCATAAGCATATTTACATATGTACTGTGAGTACACACAACAAAGCAGCATTTGAAAAAAACAGAATTACATTTTAAAAATTCTGTCAAAGACAGGCTGATAAATAATTATCTTAAAACCATTACTAGTTAAGAGAGAATTCATGTCTCCTTATTTTTCCCTTGAAACTAGAAGATTCATGAGCAAAAAGATTTTTGTTTAAAACAGTGGATGCTAAAGTATGTTGTTTGCTAACAGTGTTTAGCAAACTGCCAGCACACTAGAACTATCTGTGCAAACATCACAGATAAAGTAAAACCACAAAAGGTGAATAATACCATAGAACAGCAATACACTGAGAAGGCTTGTTGGCTGGGTCAAAACCATCAATTAAAATTCAGAGTATATTTAAGACACCAGAAAGTGCATGCATGAATGGTATACTAATAGAAATAAATTCTAGTGTCTTAGCAGGACAAGTTTTTTTTTTTTTTTTTTTAAATTTACTTGCAACCTTCTGTAATGAGCTCTATGCATCTTACTTCATTTCTCATTCTCCATAAACTAAAAAGAGAGACAAGCAGGGTGAGTTTCAACAATTCTTGGCAATTATTATATTTCCTACTACCCAAAATAAAAGGCTAGGTTACAGGATTCATGGAGGTGTTAAAGCTGGCTTACACATAAGACAATTAAAATTCACTTGGAGACCTGCACAGGAAGTTGTCCAGTGTTAAAGATGTAATTCCCACACTCAGATGTATTTAGTGTTTCCATTATACTTCACTATTCTATTTTTCCACTGCTGTTAGAGTAGGAATACCATTTGAAAGCTTTTGTTTTACAGCTATCTAGCTCTATATCCAAGAGTAGGACCAATTCCATTGCTGACTATATGGATTTTAATGATACTATCTAAATGAGGCTTATGTTTTCACTTCAACTAATTTTCCCTCTAGGAAGAGGTTCAGCAGGTATACTTTTCAAAACTTCATTTCATGTTTAAACATAACACATCCTTTCTGCTTTATTAGTTTAATTGTGGAAAAAAAAAAAAACAAATTACTTTGAGAATGGAGTTATCTTGTCTTGTATTTTTGGTATCATAACCTTCTAATAAACAGCGACGAGTGGTATTTCCTGATCCAGCAAACTCTGCTAGATTTAGATCTGCAAAGCCCAGCTGTTAAAGAAAAAATGAAAGTTAGTAGAATGCATACTACTAAACGAAAGCACTTTCTACATGCACAGTAGTTTCAACAATAGTTTCTTGCAGTTAAGATGATGTCTATTAAAGGGAGAGGCACAAGACAAAACGTTGAAAAGCTGAGCATCGAATTCTACATAGATCTTCTTTTACCTATGACAGTGTCAAAATAAGAGAAAGGAGAATTTGACACCTTCTTTTGAAAGAAATATATGAAAAAGGGTTTACTTTCATCAACCCTTTCAAAATAATTGAAAGAAAAAATTCTGATGATAAAATAAGTATTAAACACGCTCATCAAGAGTTCAGACAACTGTTGCCACAGTACACTTATGGAAATCACAGGTATTACAGTACTATTCAAGAATTACTTAAAATTAGAAGAAATAAAAGACAATCCATAAGCTAAATTTAATATCTGAATTTACCTTTGCATATGCCTTTCCTCCTTTTAACTCCTAGGAACAAAAAAAAAGAAACAAGAAACACTAATAATTATGCAAGCCAACCACTAAAAATACTGACTTAAGAAAAGCAAATATTAGTCTTAATATATCTCACCACACATTTGCTAGACTATACTGTGGTCATTTATTAATAATGTTCTCAGTGCCTGCCAGCATCTTGGTGCTGTGAAGAGAGTACCTGACAACAGACTAGCATTTTCCTTCTGTAAAGTCTAGCTCCAGGTCCAGGAAGTGCTTCATTCTAAATTCTCACATTTGACATAGTTCAAGCCTTCTAAGTTTACTGGTGCTTGCCAGAAGGATCCATCAAGAGCTACCTTTATAGAGACTGATGAGCAATTACTCTGCTGCCCTGCTGGAATGACTGACTGTTCTTTTCAATATACGTTTAATAACTAATTTCCATAACTTAGTCAAGACAAAGCAATAAATTACTACGCAAGTCGAATACCTGACATAGTTGCAGCTAAAATGAACTTCATTACATTTATCAGCTTCTTAAAATTACAATCAAAACAAGTGAAGAAAGAATGGGGGAAGAAGAAACACTACTTACCTTCCGCACAGACACTCTGCAGATACAAGTATCCAGAATCCCTGTTGTGGCACTGGCACTGATTTTACACATAAATATGAATTTTTTCTTCCAGCGGACACAGTTTGCCTGCACCACCTCCCTGCATATAGGAAAGATATGTTTAATAACAGTTGTGTATGCATTCAGGACCATAACACACAACAGGACAGCTTAAGAACAAGTACTGCTTCTGCTGTTTGTGAAGTGCGCACTGAAGTCCGCTCCAAAGCCTGAAGTAACCATCCTTCATGCTTCTCTGTGTAGCAAGACTGGTAGTAGTGTTTCAGTATAGAGAAAAGAAGCATCATATAAGCAAAACTAATTAAATTTGAGGCCTGGACCAGTTCAAAGGAGATAATGTAAAATAACCTTATACAAAGTCATGCACTTGGAGCATAAAGGAACCTCAGCCATGTACTGGAAATGTACCTAATCTGAATGGATTTGTTCTTTGCAGGATTACAGCTCAGCAAAATGATGTAGCTTTGCAAAAGACGAAATGTAGGATGCTTTCAGCTATGTTAACTGCCAATGGAACACATTTTTCCATGAGGGAAACTGAAGTTGAAGATGAACAGATTCTAAAATGAATACTAAAGGATAGAAAACCCCTGTATTTTATGAGGAAAAATCATAATAAAAAACCTGCTAAGTTATTCAAACAGTGCAGACACCAAAGGACTTCTTAAGCCAAATAACCAAGCATAACCACACATTAAAGCTGAAAATCACAAGGTCTGAAACACAGTTTAGTAGAACAGCCTTCAAATAACTGACATAGGAGCAAAGGAATCTTAAGGTATTTGAAGACATGGTTGGCTTGTTTGTCAATAGCAGGACATAAAGACTCTGTGATCTGTAAAGGCTCAGTGATCTCTCTTCTAGTCTCACATTTCTGAACTCAGAACTTGGAACTGCAGAGCATCTACAATACCTTCTATCACTCCAGTTACTCAAATCTTCACATGTAAAAGCAGTATTTGGCCCTTTTCCTTCTCCTCCATTTTTGTAATGCAGATAATGCTATTTTGTATTAACTTCCTACAACACCTAATTATTGGAAGATCTAGCCTGACACCTTTAGTGCAGGTAGAACTCTGTGGTTCTACCTAAGTTGGAGTCAGAGTTTATCACCGATGGAGAAAGGACAAATCACAAGGCTCAAACTTGCTGTGCTGGTGAAGCTGCCAGCTACGGTGCTTATGTGCACAATGACTTACTAAGGTTGGAATAAACTAGCCTGCCTGAAATGAGTCAGTTTAATTACTGCAGCAGACTAACGGATTCTGATGATACAACACTGAGTCACATTCAAGCATGTGACCTAAGAGGAAAAGGCTCTGTACACCACAATCTACCTTTTATCCTTCGCGTTTTCTACTGTAAACCTTTCTGTGCTTTAAATTAAGAAAAAAACAAACAAACAAAAAACCTGCCAGTCTGACAGTTAGTTAGACCCAGAACAGAATCAAAAATCAGGAAAGGTAAATTATACATATCTACGTACTGCACTGGAAACAGGCTTAAGCCAAGGAGCTGAGTACAATAAAATGATTCAAGGGACACTGGATAACTGTTAAGTTCTGTTATACAGAGAAGGCTTTAATAGTTATTGTAGCATTTAGGTGACAGTTGCTATCTCTCAGATTAAAAAAAATAGCTAAATGTCCACTGTCAAGCACAACACTGCAAGTGCATGGTATCTGGTGTCTGCATATTTGTATGTTGCTTATGCTGTAAGATAAACAAGTAGTAACTGCTTGATAAATCTAACAGTGTACTTAAAACCTTAGAAGGATCTTAAATTTACTTCAGCATACTACCAATACTTATACATACACATCTCATTGGCCAAGTAAGAAAAAGAGCACAGAAGCACTATACTTCAGGATACAGGCAACATCTGAAGTATTTCTCCATCTAGTCATGTCACAGGTCAGGGTTTCTTCAGGCAAATAATGTTACAAATATTAAACAGGATAATTCTATTTTAAAGTTCTCTTAAAAACAAGTAAAAGTTACTATGAAAATGCCTCAACATAAAGATACTATGCTAAAACTCTTGTGAAAATTAAATCAAAATCAAGAACAGCCCCCCAAAAATGCAATCAGTTACTTTCACAGGCACATGGTTTTAAAGAGCAAGATAATTGAAAGATTTATATACAATCTGCAGAAAGAAGGGGAAAAAAAACAAAAACAAAATCACTGAGCTGTCCCTTCAATTTCATGATAGAAAAAAAAGTAACGTTTTAAGGAAGGTAATTTTGGCATAAGAAAAAAGAACAGCAGTTAATTCCCCTTAGACTGAAAGGAAACAAGCTAAATATTGACAATTTTACTACTTAAGCTTCTGAGATTCTTAGTTCACGTGCAGGGACCTTCAGAAAATCAAGTTGCATTGATTGGTTACTATGGAAGTGAACTCAGATAACTTCTTGGTGACTGTGCCTATGTTATGGGGCACGCTGGAGAAAGCTTTCCGTTATGAGTCAGTTTCCTATGAGCCTCATAGTCACTTTACCACGTGCAAAGCAGAAACAGTTGTTTTATGAATCGAAATGCATCTTGGTTACTAAGATACAGTCAAATATGTACTAGCTGTAGCACTTCCATGCAATACAGGAGCAAACACTATTAGTAAGATCTAGCCAAGGATAATGCAATATAGGCAGATATTTAAGATAGACCATACTTTGGAATCAATGCAAGTTAACCGTCAGCTGAACAAACTGTGGGTTTTCTTTCAAGGTACAATTCCACACTGACTAAATTCCTATTAGACTTGCTGTCGACAAGTCCCTTCCTGTACGTACTTTATGTGCTGTACAACTGCATTTTAAAACAACAGAATAAAAGTCGTGCTTTTCTCTTCAGATCCACAGATGAGAAAAAAATCAACATGAAAAACATACAAGAAGCAACAAACCCTAGCCCAATTGGCTTATTGTCCTAATTTATTCCCTTATGGATATGACATGTTAATAATGGCTTATTTCATCTAATGCCTGCTAATGCAAACATAAATTACTTGTAAAGATCTTAAGCATCCTGTGAAAAATTACTTCTTCCTAAATGGAGAAATTGAATCAGGAGAAGCTTAGAAATTAAGTCAGAACTCCTTAAAGGCAAAAATACTGTGTTTAGTTAATTAGAAACTTGTTTATTCAGGTTTTTGTTTTAGTTATTCTAGACAGCTGATTAGAAAATTTAGCCACGTGCAGACCATCATGTTAAAAAGACAGTTTGTCTAGCACAGTTGCTTTGCAGTTAGGAAAAAGGAAACAAGAAATTGGAAGCATTTCTTTACAACTTCAAGATGCCATTTAAGCTTTATATTAGACAAAATTTATATCAATATTTTAAAAAATACTCCTGGAATCAATCAGGTAGATAGTTTTCTTTATATCAAGGAAAACAGTGCTTGTTTAGACGTTCTACAGCTTCAGTAAAAAAAACATGAGTTACCTAAAGCCTCCTATAAGTACTTCAAAAAAAAAAAAAAAAAAAAAAAAAAAGCTTTTTTCACTCCACAAGGAAAACAGGATTATTACTGCTGTTTTTAAAGCTGGTAATTTTTTTTACAAGAGTTTTCTGAGGATTTTCAAGAACTTTAGAGACTGGGCATTGGCAGTCTGAAACAGAATAAATAAAATGCCTCTAGATGAGTTAACTTGGAGTGGGAACAGCTTTTCCAGAATTATCTAAGTTTTGTTTGCCTCTTTCAGGGGAAAATCCATAATGCTGGATCAGGGCTGCTGCAGCGCTCCATGGTCCTCTCAGGTCCAACCAGTAGTGATGCTGAAGATACATTCCAGGTAATCACACCACATCTATACACAGTCAGTCTCACAGGTCAGACAGAGATACAGATGGCACCATTGGCCTCATTTATAGGCTGTTCTGACAAACCGGATGCCCCATCCTTGGAGGTGTTCAAGGCCAGATTAGATGAGGCTCTGGGCATCCTCATCTGGTAGCTGGTAACCCTGCTCATGGCAGGGGGTTGAACTAGATGATCTTTGAGGTCCCTTCCAACTTAAACCAGTCAATGATTTCATTCCCTTCTGTTTGAACAGTCTGACTTCAGTTGCTGTTGCTGAGATTCCCGTCCTCCCCCTATACACACACACGCACCAACAGAGCCTATCACCCAAGAAAATGAATTAGAAAAAAGTTTAATGTGAAGGTAGTATAGGCTGCACTGATAAGAACATGGCACAACCAGATAAGCACTGAAGAGCACTAGTGAGTGGCCCTTTCTGTCCCATTACCTAGTTTACTTTTTTCCTCACTCTGGTTCCTCCTCAAATAATCTAAATTCACCCCTTCTCCCACATTGATTGTTCCCTCAAACAGAACCTAATAACTTATACCCAATTGTATATGCACCAGTTCTAGCCTCATTATCTTTGAATAACAGAACATTTTTGCTCATTTGTAGCTGGATATAATGTCTCAAAAATCTATACTTATTTGTAAGTTACTAAATAAACAGAATGCTAAATTAAGTCTTCTTTAAGTTAGAGCTGAGAGCAGCATGTCTGAAGAATACACTGTAGTAATCAGCTTATACAGAACTTCATCTATTTCTTGTTTTTAAAGACAGTTGACTTCAACATGGTTTCATCCATGCCTGAGTCATGCAAGATGCATTCCCTCCAACAAAAACATTTTTCCTAAGCTTTGCAAAAACACAAAACCAGTCATTTACAAGCAGAGCTTCAATGTTTCCTTCAGTTTTTCACAAATTTCAGCACTACGCAAACCCGCGAAGCTCTGCTGTCTACAGTACAGCATGCAGCAGTTAGTATATGCAACATTAAGACAGGAATCATCTTCCATTTCACATTTTTACACATAATAATTAGGTTAAATCTAAGTAATAGTACTCATGACAGGTATTCCTGATAAAATATGTACAAACTGATTGTAATATGAAAATAGAGCTGCTTTAGGCTATTTTTTACTTACAAAAAATTGCTGGTTAAAAGCAAATGTAGAGATCTAAACAGGAATTAGTACAGTAGAGGGCAAACTGTATTAATAAGACTGTAGCCAGCAGTTTAAAAGAAGTTACCATTCCCTCCATTGAACATTTGTGAGGCTGTATCTATAGCACTGACTCCTGCTTTGGGTCTCCCCAGTAAAAGACACTGTAGCAAGACCAGAGAGTGGAAGATGAGGAACAATAGGGATGAACCAGGAGGAGAAGTTGGAAGAGCTTCATTTTTACAACCTAAAGAAAAGATGGAAAATGATGTCATTCTCATCTTCAGCTATTTCTATTAAATTAGAAAGAAGGCAGAGACAGACCTTCCTCAACAGAGAGCAGAAAAAGTACAAGACACAGTAACATTGGTGAAGCACAGGGCACGTTGCTTACAAAAACCTGTAACTCCATTGTTTAACAGATGCTTGTCACATGTCTTTTTCCAGAAACTTTTTCCTGACAAATTAGCTGTTGCTGCATCTCTTACCAGTACTTACAGTAAGAAGATTCACAATAATGAGCCATTTTCACCTGTATTTTAACCCATTACTTGTCATGCAAAATACCATCCAGACAAACATTTTCTTGGTTGCTACTGAGGCCTTAGGATTACTTTTTCCTACCACTAACTTGTCTCACAGCTTTTGAAAATTTATTTCATTCCATTTTCTCCATCAGGTTGCAGTTGAAAAACTATTAAAAATAGCACAACTCATTACTAAGTCTGAAGACTGCACACAGAATTCATATGTTGTGCAGGAAGATGAGAGAGAGGGACAGCAGCCCATGTGACAGGTATGTCATTTTAACAAGTATGTTTGTTTAGGAAGCTGTTTAAGCTGTGTGACTATCAGGAGAAATTCTCCCTTTCAAAAGCAATAGCAGCAGGAAGAGAAACAATGATTAGAAAGCAATTTAAAGAGCCTACTGGGGCAGAAAATGTGCTTGCCACAGCCACACAAAGCAAATGTAGTTACAGTTGGCTGGCAAAGGGGCAGCCAAGCATCAGTAGAAACAAGAAATACCTATTGTCCAGAAGATATTGAATTCTACAGCAGAAAATTACTTTTCCACCTAGTATCTCAGAAATAAGAATATAATTACATGTAACCCAGGAGCTCTGCAACTACCTCTCAGAACTCAAAAGCTTATCATATACTAACTTCTCTGGAATCTTCAGGAGAAAACATCTGGATTAAAAAAAAATTCATTTTCAGCACCCCCCCATCTCTATCAATATTCTTGTCACACATACAATAATCAACTTAGTTCTGATTGTTTTGAACAGATCATAAAAGAACAAGTGAACCATAAGCAGCTTAAAATAACAGAAATCAAAATTCTGACGTATGGGAATTTGACCAAACTGAAGACTACAAGCCTAACAACACACAAACCCTTCACTCCTTTTGTACAGCGGGGGGGGGGGTGGAATTCCAACTGAAAATTTAACTACCAGGTTTACAACTACTGTAGCCTCAGCCTAAACGGTAGAATGTTGAAAGCACCCTCTTAAGAAACAAGATCCTTTGGTTTAGAAAACTCAACTGTTTCCTTCATATGCAGCCTTCTCTTTTGCTGTTGGTTGAACAACTCAGCCTATAAGCAGTGATCTACTCTTGGGGCTTATCAGCTGTTTCTTGTGTATTTACAGTGAGGTCAGTTGCAGACAGTCTGTGCTTCCAATGTATTTGTCTGCATTGTATTAGCTGTAAAAAACACACATAATACTCATTGAAAGTGTACCCTAGAATACTAGTATTTCCTGTTTAAAATATTCACAGGTGTAATTTCTGCCCTGAGATGATCTATTGTTCTTCCATGGTACACACTATGTACACAGGATTTTGTGAACAGTGTACACATAGGTGGCATTTGGGAATCCGCAGAATTATCCAGTTTCAGAGATAGATATCTATTACCACTGGCCAAGGGAAAAATAAAAATGCATACAGATACCTTTCTGCATATGAAGCCAGGTCTAAGTAAGTTTTCTTAGTAAAACTGGGGGCTGTTAGCATAACTTGGCATATACCCTGTATATTTGCTTTGTTGTAAAATCTCAAAAACTACTGTAAAGATCCTGAAGTCATACTAAAAAGTTCAGTAGAAAAATTGGATGGCTGACTGGCAGCTTAAAACAAATAAAACCTAATTCCACTTTACAACTTACTTCAAGGTTTTCCATATTGTAGAGTGAAAGCTTGTGATGCATTCATCTGCCTTAGATTTGTAGGGTCCTAGTTTCCTACATCATTTCCCTCAATTTTAAACACTGCTACTACTTGCCTATTCAATGTTTTTTTTCCCCCCCTCTCATCAAAATACTTTAAATTACTGAATTATTTGAAAACATTTGGTACTGTAATACAGTTTTTCTTCACCTATAGGAAATATTCACAGACAATAGACATAGGCTGCTTTCAAATAAATGTTTTCAAACTGGTTTTAAAAATTTATGTATAAAATCACATCTGTAAACAACTCACATGTTTTGATATTTATTTTGGAAATCAGTTTGTGTCCTGGGCTGTATGTGCCATTTTTATCTGGTCATAGATTTTTAATGCGCTTCAAGCACACATCTGTACCAACCAGAAGAGCTTTTGTACTGAGAAAAGAATCTCATTAATACGAACTAGGACTGTGTAACTTGATGGTAGAGATTTAAGGCGTGCAAAATATTTTCCAGTAGCTCAAACTTGTTTGTCTTATTTGTATCCCACTTCAGCATCCAGGAAGTTGACACTGCCTGCAGGATCAGGGTTTTTAATCATTCATAAGCAACATCCAGATCTCAGTCAGACTGCCTGAATCTGCTTGCATGACAACTCACTACACACAGGCCTTGACTGCACTGCTGCTAGCCTTCTTAGGGCATTTCTTCCTACTAATGTTACCCTAGTTTATAGCCTGTTGATATTGCTGCTCTTCAAGTTTGATTCTGTAGTGGTTTTTTGTTTGCTTTTAAGTCAAGGGCAGTGGGTCATTGGTTTGTATCAGTATGAACTTCATTCTCAGCATCTCCCTGAAAAATACTAGTCCTCAATAACAAAAATTGCTGGAAGCTATTAAGGAGACACTGTCAGTTTTTCCACGTATAACACAGCATTTCAGATAAGTCTGTATGCTGTTTTCACAGTAAAACACAATCAAGTCCTTCAAGCTTTTCCTAACACTTCAAAGATGACTACTTCCAGAAAACAATCACCACCTTACACTGAAACACATGCAAATAGAAGATGACCGCTATTTTAAGAAGAAACATCTAACTGACAAGTCTTGAAATGCTGCCACTCTTGTTAATTTAATTTCTTCCTTATTTATTCGGACCTTTGCTGAATCACCACCATGAAAATCCATTAGTTTAGTCTTAAGCCGAGAGCAAAAGCACTCCCTTAATTGGCATTGAGGGATCACTGCAGAGGAATTCTATACCTTCCTTTGAGCGTATGTTGAGCTTTTTCAGGCCAGCACAAACACACTCACCGGGATTTTGATGCACTGATATGTTTCACTGCTGTTGTTATTTTTAACCTGTACCCCAGCATAGAAGAAGGTAGAAGAACTGCAAAGCTTGAATCCAGTGCACTATTTCAGCACATCTCCCAGCTTCATCATGCTTCCACTGACACTTTCTGGAGGCACATTCTGCCTCACCTCCTTGACATCACTCGCACTGGCCCACCTGGAATCAGCTGCACTCAAACTATCCAGGAAATACATCAGCCCGTGAAAGTGACTTCAAGGCCACAAAGACTGCATTAGAACAGTAAAAGTACATCAGGGCCTAACCTTACGATGGTTATCCATCTATCACTTATAATGAAGTTGGTTGCAAGAAGAATACTGAGGAGAAAAAAAGACACAAAACAAGAACAGAACAGTAATGAACTGATTACCTGTCAACCATACAGAAGAAAACAATGTCCAATTGCACATGCTAGTGTATTAGAATGGTTAAATAACAAGTTATTCAGCCAAAGTTCTATTCTGGTGCTCTTTATTTTCACTTACAGAATTAAAAGCCGATACTTCAGGAAGCTCTACAACAGCAGAATACATTTTAATAAGAGAATAACTGAGTAGTTACATATTTGTTAATAACTTTTGTCTCCTCACAGAAGTCCAGGAGACATTTCCAGTTAGTCTTCTTTGTAATAACATTAGAGTAATATAATTAGCCACACAACAGAAATAACTGTAACGGGAAGGCCATCCCATGTCCCCATGGGAAACGTGGGGTGAACCTGCAGCTCACAGCACACCTTGCTTCGCCCGCAGTCCACCCCTACCCGGCACTGCCGGAGCGGGGCTGTTTCACTGGGGCAGCACTCGGGCAGGCGGCAGATCTACCGCTGGGGCACAACGCAGAAGGAAAAAGGACAACCGTCTACTGCCTCAATTTCACTGCAGCATCAAGCAGGAGCAGCCGGTAAAGCATGCGATTCGAACACAAGCAAGAAAGAAGACAGCACTTCTCCACGAACCCGTTAACATTAACTCTCCTTTCAAGTATCTATATATCGATACAACGGCAGGCAGAGAGCCGGCACCCAAACTGCTCCGACTTAAGAGCCGGCGGCAGGAATTCCTTCTCCTTTTACTCACCTCGTCAGCTCAAGACATCACGGCTCAAGCACAAGCGGCCTCAGCTGCTCGAGGACTCATTCCACCTTTTCACCGGCGTTTAAGAGCCTTAGCGTTTGTTTGGAAGCATTACGACTACAAGCAGCGAGTCGACGACGAGTCTACGAGTGCCGTACCTTACCCCGCAGCCACCGCCGCTAACAGCGCACCCCCGGAACCCGCCGCCCGCGCCCCTTGCGGGGCTCCGAGAGCCAAAGAAAGGGCTGCGGGGCCGCCCCAGGACGGCACCTACCGGGAGGACTCCCCGCTGAAGCTGCCGCCGTCCAGCAGCCGCACCTTGCAGAAGAGGATGCCGTTAACGAACGGCACGGAAGAGAGCTCGTCCAGCTCCAGCTCCACGCGGAACTTGAACTTCTTCTTCTTTATCATCATGAAGGCCATGGGCCGGGAGCCCCCCGGGGGCCGCCCCCACGCGCGCTCAGAGCCGCGGGGCAGCGCCGCTCCGCCGCCCCGCTCCGCACCCATACCCGGAGCGACGGCGGCACCGAGAGGACGGAGCGCAGCTCCGCTCCGCTCCCGGCTCGGAGTGCTGTTCAGCCCCCGGCCCCGCCCCGCAGCGCTTACATGGCAGCCGGCGCCTCCCCGCCGGCCCCGCCCGCCAGGAGCCGCTCCCCGCTCCGCGGACGCCGCGCTGGCAACGGCTGGGGCGCGGCTCTCTCCACGTCCTCTCCTCGGGCCCGACGGTTGCGGCTCGAGCGCCGCTTTACGGAAAGCTGTCGGAGCGCTGCCCGGCACGGAGCGGGGTGACCGGGCAGGGGCCGCGGGCGCCGCCCGGCGGAGACGAGCTGGCGCAAGCCTAGCCGGGGCAGCTCCGCCGCGCACATGGGCCCCTGCGGGGTGCCGCCCCGCTAGGGCACGGCTTTCTGCTGACGTTCAACGTGCTGAATGCGGGGTTTTCAATAACGGCCTGTAGATGTTGACGTTTAAACTCTGAATTCTGTTTCTTCCTGTTGGAATTCAAACAGTGGCAGGGTCTTCTCAGCAGCTCAGATCTAAGTTCTTAACTCCTTACACATTGGCTCCAGTTCTGATAACGAGGAACAAATACCCATAAGCTTGCAGTGAAGCAGAAATCATACATCTGTACGTACATGCAGTAACGGTGCTGCAATATGATCCCAACGGCACTCATACAGCAAATCCTGCATAAGAAATAGTTCAGTGCCAGCACCTGGACTCCAGGCAGCAGCCACACACCCATCCCTGGAGTTATCCAGAGCAAGCCATAAGCAGTACCTACTGGCACCTCCACTTCCTCTTCACAAAACATTGCTCAACAACACCCCAAAACGTGTATCTTCCTGCAGCCATACAGTTGTTCTTGCAAAAAAGGAACATGCAAGACAGTGCTGTATGGTACTGAGCACATGAAACCTACAGAACGTTCTTTAATGTAACTGCTACTCATTCAGAAAAATTGTTGTGAAAACATTTCTAAAGGAATACACCCCAAATGCCTACAAACATCACAAGTGATGTGCACAGCTAAGCAACCCAAAGTGTAGCACAATCCCAGAAGGAAATAAGCAAGGACTAAAAAAAGGAAATGGAAAAAATACTCCTGCTTCTACTGTTTTACAGTACCTAGGACGTAATTAGTAAACACACTCTTCCAGTTCAAAATTAAGGGTAGTTTTATCTGACTCTATCAGTTTCTATTCTTAGCAAAAACTCCTCAAAACACTCATATGTCCTATAATTGCTATTACACATTTTATAAGATCCCTGCTTGTATAGCTGTACTGTGGGAACTCTTTCTGAACAACACTTACACCTCACTCTATGATTCAACGTTGTTTCATTAACAGAGATGTACAACCTGAAAAACACTAAGGCAGTTCTCTGTATCCTACATTCCTCACTGCTCTTAGATGAATTTGATACTTCCAGCACCTAGAAAGAGCAGATAATACGCTTTACTGGATCTACCTGCCATCAAGTTAAACTAAAGTAGCCCTTTCTTGAACAAACACACCAGCATTTCTTAATTTCATAGAAATACTTCAGGTTCAAAAAGAAAACTCTTACAGTTACTCAGAAAAAAAAATAAATTAACTATAATAAGAGCTTTAAATATCTTAAAACATCAGCACTTAAAAAAAACCCACAACCACAACTAAAAAGCACACACACACACAAAAAAAACCACCAACAAACAGACCTAACACACCCTGCCTTAAAGAAAACAGGAAAATGCTAAATCTCCTTTTTAAGAGTTAAACAAAAAGCAGCTAATGACCTTCACAAGCCATTTCAAGGTCCAAAACTAACATACAGACCCTTATATAGGTGAAAGCTCCCAGAAAGTTGTGTGAGCTAATACGTGTGTTGAGGGCCCCAAGCAGCCCCACCTGGGGCCTCACCTACATCCTACCAGGGACCTATATAAGCACAGCCCCAAGGCAGCTGGTTTTGTGCTTTTTATTGTTGGGTGCTGGGTTGTTTTGGTTGTGTGTTTGTTTTCTATTGTTGTGCAGTTTAATTTCTTTGTGATACTGGGTTTCAGCTAGAATTGTTATAGCTCTATCATAGAATTGTTTTGTTATAAATGTAGTTGTTAAGTTATATTTACATGTAGTTTTTGTTACTGGGCTGTCTTTGTGTGGTTTAAGTTCTGACTTTTTATTGTAGGCCCTGTTTTCCTTTTGTTTTTGTTGTAGGAGAAACTAATACACTTCAAATAAAAAGGATTTCTTATTAAATATATGTAAAACAAGGTTTGGAGGAAATCAGTATCTTCAAACCTCACAGTTACATTTAGATAAAAAATGTAACTCAAAAGTAGTCTTTTTTTCTGAAGAATATAGGAATTCAATCATGAAATAGTAGGAATAAATAGAAATGTTTTCTATGGATAGGCAGCTGTTTGTAGGCAAAATCAATGTCTTGGGGCTTTTAAAATACTCTGAAGCATTCGTGTTTATCTTTGGAGATGGGATGTTACTTAAGTAACCTGTGTTCCTCTGGTGCCCTTACTATAATGCTACTTCCCTGCTGGGCACTCTTATTCTTGCCTTGCAGCTTTTTTTCCCCTGAGAATAACAGTATTTGGAACTGGTGGAATTTTTTTTTTCTTTGTTTGTGCTTTAGGATGTTTTCTGGTCTTGAACTGCTATGATATTCGGGCTGTAACCTGCACCCAGATCGCTACTTTCAACAGATGCAGTTGTATGCACTGTAACTGTTGTCAAAGAGATGAAATTGGATGTTTGAAACTAAATTGAACTGAGAAGTGAACCTCAGTGGAAGCAAGTGTGATGTGGTTAACTAAGCTCTATTGTTGAATTACTTGTACTGTTTAAAATAAAGTTTCAGTCCTCCTAAAATATTGCTTGTAAAGTCTCAGTCCTCCAAAAATGCTTGAATGTATTTAGTATTAACCCACATAGGCAGGCTCTGATTTATCTGCTAACAAATCAGTGTCCTGAATCACACAACACTCCTGCATTCTGGCTCCAGTCTTAACAAAGACATAGTATCTCTTGTCAGGATGAAACAATTTGGAACCACATGCTAGGAAAGACAGTGTGGAGGAATCACAGGATCTGAATTGATCAGTGCATTTTTGTAAAAGCTAGTAAGGGTCTGAAGTGTTGGCCTTCTGTGGAGGCCAACAGAAAAATTCTGTGCTCGTGGAGATTTAATTAACTGTACTTCAAACTGTAGCACAGCAGTATTCACTGTATCCCAAACCAAACAATCCTTTAGCTGTGACTTTTCTTTTTATTGTTTTGACATATTCTAATTTATCCTGTGTATCCTGAGGTTCGCTCATTCAGGTGACAGAAACTGGTTGCTTGTTCTTAATGGCCTTTTTTTGAACTGTGTTGCAGAATTGGGTATGATCTCATGAAAAAATATTTACCTTCCCAGTAGTCCACGGTATTAAGCTAGAAATGACTTTTGGCTCCTGCAGTAGGTAATATGCACAATTCAAAGGTATTTTCAAGTGTATTTGTTTTTTCTACAGTTAGAGCTATGGTATCTCAAGCAAACACTTCATCACATAAAGCAATTCAGCTACCTTTTAGTCTATCAATAAAATATGTTAAGTCTATCTCTAGCCTTTTAGGCTTTCTGTTATTTATAGTACTTCCTCTAAATGGGTAGCATTGATGTGATTTAAACATTGATGTATTAGTATGAATTACTGTGTATTAATGCATACTAATTAAAAGCTCTTTTACTGAGTTAAACAGATTTTTTTTTTTTTTGATGTTCTAATACTATTCAGTGTTGATGTCAGTGGGGGAAAAAATACAGGTATTAGAGTTTTATTTCAATCCTGTTTTAGATGCATATTTTAGGTGAGGATGCTTCTTGACTCACAGATGCCCTTTGTGGCTGTGCAGGAAGGTGAGCATTTCCGAACTCCTTCTTAACAAAGAACTTTGTAAATAATGCAGCTCCCAACCCCGTCATCTAAGACC